TTGTTGTTTGGCGGGCCTGGGCTGGGGATTCAAACCCGCCACCTTAGGTGTATGTGGCTGTCGCCCTAGCTGCTTGAGCCACAGGCGCCGAGCCTGTTTTTAGGGTTTTTGAAGTTTGAAATTATTCCCAAATGAAATATTTAAAAAATCAGGAGAACTCTTTTTTCCAACCAAATCCCACGTAGAACCCTGTGTTTAAAACAGGTGCAAGCAGGATTGTCTGAGGTGAAGGATTGTCTGGTGGACTCAGCCCACTCAGTTTTTGGAAACATGGCAGGAAGGCAGCCATTCCTGTGTCCAAACATCTAAGCATTCAACACACACACCTTGATCCTCACAGCGGCCTGAAGAGGTGTTCCTACCTCCACTGCAGGAATGAGAAAATTAGAGCCCAGGAAGTAGCTCCTGAGCACCTCAGCTATTCAGGTGCTGACCCATGCTTTACACACTCACAGTGAGGTTACTGTCCAAGGCTATAGCACCAATCAATGCTGGAGTTCAAACCCAGGACTCCTGCATAGTGACAAACTTCTGCTCTTTGGATTTGGGGCTGGTGTATCCCAGATCTGCTAGAGAGAACCTGCTTCCTCCCAGGTAAAGTTGCTGAGGCTCCCAGGGGAGCAGCCCTGGCCTGTTAGGGGCAGAGATGAAATTAGGAGTCAAATTGGACTCCCAGCCCAGTGCCCACTCAGTGGTGGGAGGGGAACACACTGTCTCTTCCCTGAAGAGTAATCTTCACTTGGAGCCCTGACCTTGGTTTAACCTTCATGGCCTGGAGTCTCCCCGTATGGGCCTGGCTTCTGGTTCAGCAGAGACTCCAACCTCCCTCCTTTCCCCCCTAACAAGACAGAAAGCTATGTGTATAGACACACTGGTTCTGCTCTGTTCTCCCCCCTGCTGCACCCTGCTATTCCTCTCTAGCAACTGCCTGTCTCTCTTTTCCCTCTCTCTTTAAAATTAGCCCTTGTCTTCTCCAGTCCCTGTGTTCTTAACAAGTTAAATTCATTGTTAGCAAAAATCATGGTGTTTTGAGTCTCACCACAAAAGTTGTAACTATGTAAGGTAAGCTAGATTTAATCATTTCTCAGTGTATGTAAACTTCAAAACATCATGTTGTACACATTAAATGTATACAGTGAAAAATTATGGTGTTTAAACATCACTGCCAAGTGATGAGCTTCTAAAAAAGAATTCCAGGAAGCCAGAGGTTTCTGGGGAAATGAGGTCTCACTATGAATGCAACTGCCCTTCTCCAGCCCAAAGTAAATCATTCAAGGTCACACAGGTAGTGACAGACCAGAACTTTGAACCTGGTGGCTCTGTGTGGCTACAGAGGTGATTACCTAGTCTGCATTATCATGGAAGCCATGTACAAATAAACAGGTTGCCCACTGAACAAGGACGTCCATCTGAAGGGACAATTGGGGGATGAATCCAGCTAGCAGCCCCACCGCTGAGGTGAGTTCTGTAATACAGTGACGGCTGTTCTTGTCTGCCTGGAGGAGTGCTGTGGCAGCATGATTATAAATGGTCCAATGATTCCTCTCCCTATGCCTGCATGCCTTGCAGTGTGTCTTTATCAGGAGGGAAAGTGTTCCTTACCCCTTGAATCTGGGGTGGTCCTGTGACTAAACAAGTCAATAAAATTATGCCATTGCAGGGCCAGGCCTCAGTGCACCTTGCAGGTTTCACTTGCTCTCTTGGAACCCAGCTACTGGCACAAGTCTGAGCTAACCTGTTGGAGGATGAGAAACTTGTGGCTCAGTAATCCTCATCTGCAGCCAGCAGCCAATTAACCACCCCAGCGTATGAGCAAAGCCATCCTAGAGCCACCAGCCTCCACCCGATCCACTTCTGACCACAGACCCTCTAGGCAGCCTGGCCAAGTTTGAGTATGCTCAACCTAGATCAGATTGCTGCCCAAACCCTGTAGGCTTATGAGTCTTGATCAGTGCTAACTATTTAAGACATCTGTTATGGGTTGAACTGTGTCCCCTCTAAATTCCTATGCATGAGGTTCTAACCCTCAGTACCTAAGAGTGTGATCCTATTTGGAAATAAGATTGTTGCGGATATAATTATCTAACATGAGGTCATACTGGAATAGGGTAGGCCCCCATCCTCTATGAGTAGTGTCCTTATAAAAAGGGGAAATTAGGACATAGACATGCACATAGGGAAAAGGCCATGTGAAGATCACAGTTCTGCTGCCACAAGCCAGGGACCCAGAAGCTCAAGAGAGGCCTGGAACAGATCCCTCCTAGCACCTTCAGAGAGCACATCACCCTGCCCACATGTTCATCTTGAACTTCCAACTGTCAGCACTGTGAGACAATAAATTTCTGTTGTTTAAGCCACCCAGCTGGGGGTACTGCATTTCAGCAGTACCGGCAAGCTAATATAGTGCCTTTTCCTAATTCACACAAAGGCATGGTATGAGCTGGCTTCCTAGTTTGCCTCTAGGGCAACAGCTGTCATGGCACAGATACCTCCTCTGGGTGCCCAGGTAACCCCTGGGAGGCACCCAGTCCCTCCCCAAGGAGGGCCCGAATCTGGAAAGACTGGGCTTCCTAGCCTCTGAAGTCCTTGCAGGGGAGGCCTCAGAGACCCATACAAAGACAGCCCCTGGCCCTGACCCATCCTGGACCCCACCTACCTGGGTTGCCGAGGGCCATGGAGTCATAGATGAGTTTGCAGGTCTTGAGCAGGATGGAGATCTTCTTTTCAGGCGAGTAGGCCTTGTGCATGCTGGCGAACTTCTGCAGGATCTTCTCCATGACAGACACCTCTGGCACGCTGGTGGTCACTCCAAGGTCAGTCGTTGTGGTGGCCAGGATCACTAGCTGGTTCTCCTTGAGCTGCTGCAGTGAGCCGTCCTTGGTGTGGATCTCGTGCAGGCACGAGTTGATGGCTTCTTTCAGGGGCTTCAGGACACACTTATACAAGGCAGACTCTACAATTGCTTCTGTAGGTGAGCAAGGGTGAAGGGGAGGAAACAAGCTATAAGCATCCTGCCACTGGGCCTGCTGCCCAGTTGTTCAGCCTTCTCCATCCACTGGTCCCTGGAAGGGCACACTCACAGCTCCAGCAGTTAAACCCTGCAGTTCTGATACGGGAAGAATGTAGTACGTTCTGTAGAAAGCCACACTGTGAAGACATTGGCACAGGAGCCTCCAGGGACAGATACTGACTGGCCATTAAATCCTAATGTTTTTCATAGGGCCTGGCACACAGTAAACTCTCCAAGGACTGCCTACTCATACACAGCTTCTGAGGGCATTATTCACATGGCAGTTGTACAGTGGACAACAGGGGCAGCTGTAGGCTGAGGGCCTGAGTGCCTAGTAAACAATTCGTAGAATTATTCTTGTTTGTTTGTTTTTTAAGACTGAGTCTCACTATGTTGCCCTCAGTAGAGTGCTGTGGCATCACAGCTCATAGCAACCTCCAATTCTTGGGCTTACGCGATTCTCTTGCCTTAGCCTCTGAAGTAGCTGGGACTACAGGCGCCTGCCAGAACACCCAGCTCTTTTTTTGTTGCAGTTGTCATTGTTTAGCAGGCCTGGGCCGGGTTTAAATCTGCCACCCTTGGTGCATGTGGCTGGCACCGTAACCACTGTGCTATAGGCACCGAGCCTGGTAAAATAATTCTTGATGCCCCTCTTTCAGTTCCCAAATCCACTTGACTTTAGTCTCAAAAATACAGTATATTCAGAACTTGACTTCTCATCACTTCCATAGCTACCACCCTGACTTGGGCTGGTCAGGCTCCCACTATCACCTCTTGCCTAGGTTATGTCATTAGGCTCTTGCTCTGGCCCTTAATAGTCCATTCTCAACACAGCAACTAGTGTCCTGTTATGACATGTTTGATCATGACATTCGTCTGTTGAGAGCCCTCCTGGTACCCATCTCCTATACAATCACACCAAAGCCAAAGTCTTCCCTGTGGCCTCCAAGGCCCTCCTGTGATCTGGCCCTGCCACCTCTCTCACTCATGGCTTTGCCTGCTCCTGCCCTGGGGCTTCTGCTCCTGCTACTGTCTTCACCTGATGCAGTCACCTCAGTTGTCCACACTGCTTGTTCCTTAACTAGTCTTATGTCATCTTATCCAAGAGGCAGTCCTGATCTTCGCGTGGAATGGGAGACTGAGCTCTGATCTCACACTGCTCTACAACATACACATTCTTATTCCCACTCTAAAGACAGACCAACTTAAGCTCTAATGGAATGGGCTGAGCTGGGGGCTGAACAAGGATTAGAACTCATGTCTGCTTGATACCAAGGTGGTGCTTAGCTGCTTTGGGTGACAGTGGGGAGATATTCTTAGGAAGTCATTTTTACCCTAATTTATCTCCAGGGGAAGGATCTTAGCTTAGGTCCCAAGTCCTATCCCTGTAAGGGGACACCTTGGCTTCCCTATCCCTGGGAAGAGGAGGGAGGAGCTTGTTCTCCCATGGCTGAGTCTCAGCAGAGGCCCAGACAGCCCTTCCCTGCCATGCAAGTCTAGGGTTGGTCCGTATCTGGATTTGGGGCCTATCCTGCCCTTCAGCTGAACACAGGACTGCCTTTGTCTCCCTCACCCTGCCCCCATCCATCCTTGCAGGGCCACATGCCTGCCCACACGTCCTTCCCATGGCCCTCATAGCTGCAGGTAGAGGCGTGCTGTCCTAGGGGCAGGGACTTGCCCTTTGTCGCTGCCCGAGGCTCCTGTATGACCTTGACCAAGTCCCTTCCCCTTCCAGGGCCTGTTCCCTTAATTGAAAAGTGAGAGGGCTGTGCCCATGCCCAGAGGCCCTCTCACACCTGAGAGCCACTGAGCTCCTCCAGGAACCTCCTCTCTGGCCCTCAGCAGCCACACGTGCCAGGACTGTTGCGTCTCCACTTGCTCCTTGTGACTTATCTCGAGGACTACCCTGAGTGCAGGGTTCTGCCCAGCCTTTCTGTGGTTCAGGTTCCTCTACTGTCTACCCGACACAAGGGCAGAGCTCAGAAGGGGCAGAGCTCAGAAGGAGCAAAGCAGTCAGTTTATGGAAAGGGCTGGACTTCCTGGGTCTGAAGCCCAGTGTTGCCACCAGTTCTGTGTCCTCTCAGCCGGGTTGCTAAATCTTTCAGAGCCATGGCTTCTTGGGTATGACAGCAGCCCAAGCCCATTAGGTTTGCTGACATGTGCAGCATCTGGAATGGTGCTATTACTGTCGATGCTGACCTGTCCCCAGCTCCTGGAAGGCCCTTCTCTCCATCTCTGCAGCTCCGGCCCTTCTTATCCTTGGTGGCCTAGCTCAGCAGCCACTTCTCTCTGCCTAGAAATCTTTCTACCCTACAGTTATGTCCATAGCAAGCTTTGGTAGCATCCTGCCATGTCACCCCTCAGGAAAGACTCTGGGTCTAGCACCTCTTGGCATCCTGGTACCTGAGACAGAGTTGGCCTTAGCAGATACTGCCAACAGATCCTGCCAACTGGCCCACCCTGGGGCTGGAGTCATTCCAGCTGTTTCTGGCAAAGGTCCAGCTTGCACCCAACCTGTGCTCTGCCAGGGACCACATGGTACCTGCCCTCCCCCATGCCATCTGCTGGGCCAAGAGGTCTCCCTGCTCTCATCTCTCTGCTCTGCCCTCCACACATACCCTCAGGGGGCTCTGTTACCTCTAGACCACATCCATAGCTGGACTTTTCACTGCCTCCTGAGTGGCCCATGACCCTATGGCCTTGTCTTCCTCCTCTCTACCATTTTCCATGTGGCCATCACTCCCTAGAGGGAAAGTCCACCACCACCTCTTCCACAACACAGCCCCTCTCACTCCTTCCTTAGGCCCAGCTCTTAAACCCCCTGCTGTGGAAGGCAGGGCTGACCATAGCTTCCTCTGGGCCTGCTGTGCCATTCCATATCCTCCCTGTCAGCATGGTGCCTGGGGCTCAGTCCTCAGACCCAGGATGATCTCATCCAGTCTTGTGGCTCTTTTTCTGCTGATGGTTCCCAAACATCTATCTTTTTTTTTTTTGTTTTTAAATATGGAACACTTCACGAATTTACACAGGGGCCATGCTAATCTTCTCTGTATCGTTTCAGTTTTAGTATGTGTGCTGCCAAAGCAAGCACTCCCAAGCATCTATCTTTAGCTCACACTTCTCTGCAGAATTGCAGATTCAGACCTCAATGGTCTACTTGACATTCCCACCTGGGGAGCCCATAAGCGTCTCTATCATTATGTGCCCAAAGTTGAGCTCCTGGGCTCCTCCCTGGTGTCTGTCTCCTTCCAAGGCTGCCAGTGTTTATCTGTGTCCTACTCCCTTCACACACATATCCAGTCTGTGGCTCCATCTTCACCACAGGCCCAGGACCGGAACTCATCACTCCACCTGTGCTGCCTCTGCCTATTCACAGCCTTGATTATTACAGTAGCCCCTGGAAAAGTCCCTCTGCTCCCACTCAGCACAATGGCCAGAGCAATGCTGTGCATGTATAAGTGGGAGCACAGCTCTATGGGGCTTGAACCCTGCACGTCCCATCTCAGCTCATCCTTGCATGCTGCTGGCCTCCAGATCTCAGTCTTACTGCCCTCACCACACCTGAAAGGCCCCATGAACCCTGTGGCCTAGCTAACCTACAGTTTTCAGCAGTCTGCTATCAAAATCCAATAGCCCTGGGGGGAAAAAAAAACATGTTAATCTCTCTTTTCAGGAAACATTCACTGTGGGACTGACTCTTTAATTATCCAAGGGGGAAGGTAGGCCATGGGAATGCCAGAAGAGGTGGCCCCTGGAAGGCTGGGGAGTGACTACTCCAACTAATTAGATTACCAACTTATTCAGAAGGGCTCAAAATTTCACAATCACGTGTGCCACAGCAGTGTAATCTGACTGAATATTTATAGGGATATAGTTGATCGCAATGTAAAACATATCTTTCCCTGTGAATCACAATCATAAACAGGGTTGATAATTACTGGATTAGAGGCTGGTAGGGGTGGGGAAGGTTGGGGGCTACTTTGGAAAGGAGTCAGATCAATGAGGTGTCCTGGGCTGGTTCTCCAGAAGCAAAGCGTGAAGGAGAGATTCAGGGGCATGTGAATTATTGGGGGAGGGAGAGACAAGCTCTTAGCATACAGGGAATGAGGAATGCTGCACATAGCAGGGAAGAGCTTAGGCAAGGGTGGGGTCTTAGCCTCAGCCTGATCCCATGGGGTCGTAGAGTGTATTACATAGTAGTCCTACCTTAAAGGCCAGGGGGACCAGTCTTTGTTCCCCCATGGCAGGGAGTAATTGGCAGTGAGCTGCCCAATAATGGAAGAGGGGATCCATATAATGTGGACTCTATATGGCCAAGGTCGATTCTGTTGCAGCCAACCCTTGCTGCAGCTGGAGAGAGTTGCCTATTCCCAGGAAAGGGTAAGGGTATGTGCACCAACAGCGTCCACTACACAGATCTCCTTCATCCTAAGGGGCTCCCAAGTCTATAAGCCATGCCCCCACCCTTCCCTCCCCCTGCCCCACAGCCCGCCCCTCCCCAGGCACTGACCCAGCTCCTCCTCGAGGTGCAGGGCAGGGTCCACCAAGGCCTTGAGCTCGGTGCTCTGCAGCAGGTAGCTCTTGAGCTGGGTCATCATGGTGCGGATCTCCTGCAGCATCTCAGTGCTGGAGGCCTGGCGCGCCATCATCTCCAGGCTGTACACCTTGTAGTCCTGCACCAGGTTGCCAAAGTAGGAGGCCTTATCCTGCGCCAGCTCCACCACCTTCTTATATAGCTTGCGGTTATTGGACAGGAAAGCGTGGAAAACATTGGTGAAGCTCGCGAAGCTCAGCCGATGCCGTGCCTTACCTAGGATCATTGAGGACTTCTTCTTCCCACAGTGGCCGCTGAGTGACTCCAGTTCCTCCTCCGTGCTGCTGGTTGAGTAGGAGTCCTGGTCAGCAGCTGAGCCTGGTGTCCCTAAGCTGTCTGAGAGGGAGGCCAGGGAGCCCTTGAACTCTGGAGAGCCCTGGGCATGCGTGGCTTGGGCATGGAGGCGCTGAGTTCCAGCTTGGGAGGCAGGACTTTGGCCTTCTCTGGGTGGACTGGGCGTGGGTGTCTCAGAGGCCACCTCCTGCCTGCAGAACTCAGCACTCTCCAAGGGGGCTGGGAGGACTGAGGCCAGTTGCCGGGAGACCCGTTTCTTCCTGGGGGGCGGGACTGGGGGTTGTTTGGTCTTCCTTGGCAGCTCTGGAACGCTGCCCGGATAACTGGCTTCAGCCTCTGCTTCCTGGCCTTGCTCTGTGATCCTCTGAGGCCTGTCCCTAGAGCTGTCTGAGGTACCTGGAGGTGTGCTGAGCTGGTCCCCCTCTGCCACAATTCCTGCACTCTGGTCCTCCAGCGATGTCCTCTCAGAGAGGCGCCTTCTGGGAGGGACAGTGGGAAGGGTCTTCTTCCCCAGCGGTTGAGGGGCAGCGGCTTGTGGCAAGAGGCTGGGGGTTGACCCCTGCTTCATTTCTTCCTCTCTGAGGGGGCCCAGGCCTGCAGTGGGGCGTGGGAGTCTCTCACAGGTGGTCATGAGTGGCTGGTTCAGAGGATCTGGGGGGTCTGGAGCCTGGGGTGCAAGGTGGGGGCCAGGGCCTAGGGGAGAACCGGGTACAGGACAGGCAGAGGCAGGAGCAGGAACAGCAGGGAGTGGATCAGGCCGGGCAGGGCTGGAGCGATGATGCAGGACCAGTGCTGGGGGTGGTGGTGGTGGGCGGCGCGGGGCCCACTTAGATGTGGGTGAGGTAGCGTCAGAGGTGGGCAGCGATGGGTGCGCAGGGCAGCTTCCAGGAGGTGGCTGGTCAGTGGGCAGGGAACTGCTGCAGTCCTCAATGAAAATGGGATTCACAAACCACAGGCGGTCACTTCCCACCGATAGCTCAATTTCACAGGAACAGTTTGCATAACAGGTGGTGGGTCTGAGAGTGGGGGCTGGGGGTGCTCCAGGGGCCCGGTCTTTCGTGGGTTCTGCTGGGCTCCCGCTTGCTTGATGGGGGTTCAGGGAGGAGTCCCAGAAGCCTGTGGAAACAAAAGAGGGACAGGCGATCAGTCCTTGCACTGGGCCAACGCTGTGCTGGCTGCATCTGTGGGTAGGCTGGGGGCAGGGCCACCGAGGGCTGTTCACAGCATTTGCTTCACTGCTCTGAGGGTTGTTTTCCCCTCTTGGATGCTTTCAAACCTCTCCCACCACTTCCTGCCTCGAGAGGGGAAGCCCCGCAATCCTCTCCAGCAGTGTGGGGTGGGGCCCAGGGGTGATATGACAAGCTCCACCCCAGTTCTGTCCCTTGTTGTGATAGCCACAAGGGCATTGGTGGCCTGGGGTGGGGGGTGGCCACACAGTGCTCTAGAACTGTGGGGAAGACATGATGGGGAGAGAAGGGCCAGAGGCCTGCGCTCCCGGAGCTTGACCAGCTGGGGCAGGTGGCTCAACTGGTATAGGCCTTAGTCTAGTCATCTTTTAAATGGGGTCACACCTGTACCCAATCATAGGTATGTGCGAGAACAAGTGATGGTATCAGGGAAGGGGCTTTGGACCAGTTTTGGCCACTGCCATTGTTATATGAGGAAAACATGAACTTACATATGAATTGCCCTAACAGGAATACCCATCTGCAGCAAAATCATTCTGACTCTAGTTGATCTCAAGGTTTGCCCCAATTGGGGGAGCTAGCTCTGAAGACAGGGGCTCCTGTGCCACTGAGCTAAGTTCCAGCACATGCCATTTTACTGACTCAGTCCTCTTGGACCCAGTCCAGGGCTGTAGCCTCTGAAGCAAGCCAGGCACAGGTGTTCTTGAGCTCTAGGGAACATACCCCATCATATATCTCATGGAAGCTCAGGACACTCCCAAAGGGCCCAGGGACACCTTGTCCTGGGAACAATTTCAGTTGGCTCACAGGCTACTCTGTGCTCACTCAAGTGGTTCCTCCTAGAGAGGAACATGGAACCCAGGTCTTGTTCTACCTGCTAATTTGGGAAATGGATTGAGGATTAGCCAGGCAGGTGTAAAATTCCTTGTGAGTGGCGAGGCTGGCCTCTCACCTAGGGCTCCTTACTTCTGGGAGGAACTCACCAATAAAAAAACTATGAAAAAATATTAAAGATAATAATAGGAACAAACATTCATAGCATTCTTGCTGTGTGCCAGCCTGTGGGCACCAATCATTTTAAGGGTCCCTGGTCATAGGCTGTGCCCCCATTTCACAGCTGAATAAAGTAAAAGGCTCAGGGAGATTAAATTTGTCCTGGGCCACAGGGCAGGTGAATGAAGAAGCTGGAATTTGAACCAGTTCAGGCTAGTTCTCTACAGCCCCTGTGTTCAGCCGCGGTTACTCCGCCCTCCTTCATAGGAACTTGCAACACTTCCCATCTTTGTTCTCTCCCAGCATCGGTGGCTTGTACCCCAGACCTCGGGATGTGGTAAGAACACAGCAGGCTCTTGACATTGAAAGAAACGAGACATCACAAGGTGGCTGAGAGCAGCCAGGTGTGTGCCCACTCTTTCAGGAAGGTGAGCATGTGCCGTCTTGCTGGCTAGAGGATGCCAACCCGGTGAGGGTGAGCAGGGCTCATCCCAGGACAAAGGTGCAGTGAGCTGCAGACCCACCCACCTGTGTCCGTCCCTTTGAGGCACACCCCACACAGGGGAGGAGAATGGGCTCCCTGTCCTCCCCAGCCCTGTCTTAGTCTAGCAGCCTGAGTGTCACAGCCAGTGAAGTTGTTACCACTGGAACAAGGATGACGAACCTTCATGTGACTCTTTCCAATTTGCAAAGCTCTGTGCACAGCACAGTTAGTTACTACTCAAGAATATGGTGTGTGCGAAGAGTCCTCTCCGAGGACCTGAATGAGTGACTTTTGGTGACTGCTTGGGTCCTTTGCTTTGCTTTCTTGGGCAGCAACTGACTCCTCCCATGACTGACTCTCCCAGGTGCCTCGCATCAAGCACACAGATGCTCTGACCCCTGGAGTGAGTGTTTGAAGTGCTGTGCCCATGTCTACACAGGCCCGATAGTGTCTCCATGGAAGTTTTCCTAGCAAATAGAATCAGGCAGCCAGTCTGATCCCAGAGTGAATTTGGCTGCAGGTCCACATGGTAACTGAGTCCCCAGTGGGGTTCCCACATGACTCTTCCTTTGGGTGAAGGTGGAATCATGGGGTAGATGACATACAGAACTGCCCACCAGTGCCTGAACCCCCACCACTATCCGTCACATAGATCGCGGCCACAGCCCGCCCCCTCTGCACATTTTCCTTTTTGTGGCACCAGGTGGGGCACGTAGCAGGTCCTTGGTCGTTATTTGTCGAGAATCACTTTAGATTCTTTAGCTTGGCACTCAAGGCTGCGGGTATCTGGTCCCTGCATCTTTTTCTTTTTTTTTTTTTTTGAAAGAATAACAACGTTTATTGAGGAAGAGAAAGATAGGTTTACAAAGCAAGAGTTAAGATATAGGTTTACAAAGTAAGATTTGTTCGCCATAGACAAAGGTGCCATAAGAAAAAGCTAAAGCAAGGAGTTGTCTTTTTTCCTTTTTCTTTCTTTTTTTAGATGTTTTTTATTGCTTATTTGTTTTATACTATGTAATACATTCACGTGGTTCAAAATTCAAAATGTGCAAAATGGACTAACAGTGAAAAGACTTTCTCTTATATTTGACCTGTGGCCTCTCAGTTTTCTTTCCTATGATGACTAATATCACTTTCTTACGTATCTCCGCAGAAGTTGTTTATAGATATATAAACTAATATGCACCATATACATATTTTTTTTCATATCATGACACAAAGAAGCTCTTTGTTGCTTTAAATATGTATTTGTAAGTGGAAAAGGGGTGATTCAGAAATTATCTATTATATCAATTTGTCATAATTTCTTTAACATCACCTCACATTTTGCTATAAAAATAAGCTTATAATAAATTATGCATACTTTAGTCGAAATCCCTGGGTAGTTTGTAGGGTGACAGGTATCTGTTCTTTCAGGGATGACTTTTGCTCTTCAGCGGTTCTCACTGCTTTCCCCTTTTCGGCGATCTGCACAGCCCTCAGCAAGCCATGCTGTGAAGCTGGGTTCCTCACCATGGCGGTCATCAGGAACACCACATCCCTGATGTACATCTGCAGACTTTAGCAGCAGAGTGCTCTGCCTGCTCCCATGTACAACGAACAAGGTACAGAGTGTGATACCTCCTTCTTGCCACCCACACTCTCCCAGGACAGACTCGCACACAACTCTAATGTACTTGTTCTTGATTTTTCGTCTAAGGACGGAGGCTAAGGTGGGAAGACCTCTCACCAGGTCTGGCAGCTTTTTAAGCACATAAGTGTGCAAGCAGTTAAATACTTGAATGACATTGCTGTATAAAACATTCAATTCCATTGGAGTGAACTTGAGAGCTAGAACTGCTGTCCACATCTCATCTCAGGCCGCTGGGATTGCCAGAGTCTTACTAGGATGTTCAAATTTTTGTGTCAAGATTTTCCTTGGTGATGTCCAGTTCTTTAGGAGTTTGGGTCTACTTTCTGCTTACAGTCCACCTCCAATGACCCTTCTTTTTCTAGTGCCAAAGGCAAAATTGATAGATTCTCCCTTCATATTTCTCCTTCTTTTTTTCTTTAAGAGATGGGTTCTTGCTGTGTTGCCCATGCTGGACTCAAACTCCTAGGCTCAAGCAATATTCTCACGTCAGTCTCCTGATTAGCTGTAACTATAGGTGCATGCCATGGTGCTCAGTGGTGACAAAACTGCGACAGAAGAGTTTTCTGCGACACTCCCATGCACATAACAAATATGTATGCCTTTTCTCCTGTGCAGATTTGTGACTCGGAACCTGAGGGTCTGCTCCAACTGAAAAACAACTCATCATTTTGCTATTGACAAAGTTGAACCAGTTGGGACTAGTTCCATGGCTATGATATGTCCATAGAAACTCCTCAAACTGACTTCACCATCTGGTAAAGTTGTGGAGTCTCAGGTGCACATCTTTTTCATCTATGACGTCTCCTTATTCTCTCTGCTGCTCACTTCTTCCTCAACATGCCACGTGCTTCCCCCTTCAAGTCTTGGCTACTGCTGTTCTCTCTGTTTTAAATTCTTTTCTCATCCTCCCCACCTGGCAAATTCTTACTAATCATCAAGACTCAGGCCAAATGTTATCTGTCCAAGGGTGCTTTCTGATACACTCGGGCCTCACCTACACTCGTGTGTCCCCTCTCTCTGAGGCACACTCTGACAGTAGTGACTGTCACTGGGACTGAAATTCTGTTTTTGTTTGACTCACCCACCAGACTCAGAACTTCCAGAAGGGAGTAGCAATGCCTCATCCATCTAAATGTTCCCGGCAGTTAAGACAGTGCTTGGCACAGAGCAGGAGCCCGGAGTCAGCCCCTTAGTGCCCTCCATGGTGGATTACTTAGCCAGAGTAAAGAGGCAGGGCTGTATAGAATGGGGCAGAGGCAAGGTTAGTTTTGATGGCAAGATGAAGCCAACCTGAACCACAGGAAGAGGTCTAAGACAAGAGAATGAGAGGACAAGACAGGGAGAGAAGGGAGTCCAGGAAGAGGGCCCAAGGGCACGTTTCCCATTGCTCATGTTTAGACTCTGGTGGGAGTAGAGCAGACACTGTGGTTCAGGGAAATAGCCCCTATGCCTGGATGACTAGGACACTATCTCTCTGTCCCTGAGCCAGGCCTCAAAGCCAGCCAGTGCCACTCTGAGGGGTAGGGGAACTGGGATCAGAGAGCTGCATCCTAGGGTTTTGGGACCTGTTAGGGAACCACAGTGGTAGTGCAGCGCTTAACGCTCTTAAAAAAAGGGAAGTAGGTAACTTTCTTTGCAGTCTGCAGAATGCCAAGGCCAGAGGAGAAGCAGAACACCATGTCATGCAATCCTAGTGGTTGGCCAAGCTGTGGGTGGCAATGCCCAATGGCACCATGCCAAGCCTTGGCTCAGCCACAAGAGTTCCCCTTAGGAAGGGCCACCCCTCCACTGCCTCTCAGCTGCCCTTGCACTGAGGCAGCCATTTTGCTGTCCCTGTGGCCTCCTGAGCCTTTTCTGGAACATCTCTTACCAGGTGACCACTCCTGCAGGGGGCTTGGGCCAGGTCAGGTGCTGGGCTGTGGCAAACCGAGCCTCCACCCTCAGAGAGCCCTGGGCTAGTGGCAGGAAAGAAAGGGGAGGAGTAAACACAGCAAAGTGTTCCAGTAAAACACAGAAGTTTCCAGCTATGGAAACCAGCTTAAAAGGCCAGTGAGTTCAGTGGCATTTTAATGACTAGCTGTTGGACAATCATTCAAAGTCAAGATTTCAATGAACTTTTAATAACTAGGAAAATTCTCACTGATATAAAGGAAGAAAGTAAACTACAAGTAAACTTGGAAGAGCTATAGAACATATGATTTTCCAAATACATTTTTAAAGTATCAAACATATATACTGCAAACACATCTGAGAACCATTGCAAACAACTCTTGTTCTCTGCATTTCTTTTGCACTTAGAATCAACTGTATGTAGTTTAGTGATGAATTACTCCCTATGTTAGGTTTTTTTTTATTAAATGATAGCTGTGTACATTAATGCAAACATGGGGTACAGTGTAGTGTTTTCATATACAATTTGAAATATTTTCATCAAACTG